CTTCCACGGTAGAAACGGCAGCATCTATGTCACGCCGTGACCACTATCAGCCCCCACCTCAGCAAAAACTTGCTTTTCAGGGTGTCGAACAAACGGCGAACGCGATTCGTTCCATGCTCGACAAATCCCGAATGGAATCAGATCGTCGAATGGCAAGTATCGCCGATGACGCTCGCATCGCTATTCCTGGAATTCAGCGTGTGGGACTATGATCGCCTCTCTGAGAACAACGCCCTCGGCCAGGTCATCGTCAGTCTTGCCGGTTCGTGTTTTTTCCTCCTTTAGCAATTTTCCCTCTTCGCCAAATGCTCAGAAACCTGTTCAAAACAATTTTATTTGATGTCTGGGTGCATTCACAAGGAAGTTATGGTAGTTCCTACTTCTTTAAGAGGGAAGCGGCTCTGTATAGTTACCAATATTTGCAGTTTTGATAAAATGACAGTGCTAAATGTAGTACATGTTTCCTCCACCCCTCTGGAGAATTGCTTTATCTGGTAACCATGCCACTAATAAGAAGACTCTTGCAGGCACTGTTGATATCTCGGTTCTAATGTCACCCATTTCAACCAAGATTTCAGCTCCTTAGATTAATCATTCAATAACAGTTTTGTCTATGAGACTAAAGCACACTTGTAAGCTCTTGTATAGTTAGAGGTGGAGGGGCAGGGTGCGGTAAACAGCACCGATCAATTCGTATGGAAAGAATGAACATTAGTAAACATGTTCCCTAGCTGGATACATCCCCCTCCTCTCCAGCGACCAAATACGACCCCCGTTAGGAGATCCCAGCTCACGATATGCCCTGTTTGGTTACGTGGCACCCACGACTAGCGCGGTTCGGGGGAGGGGCATTTTGCACTATTGCTAAATCCCATCGACATGTCGACCTACCTAGACAGCCTCCTCCGAGTTGACAGGTTTTACCATGATGGCTTGACGACCTTGCTCCAGCTTCACAAGAGTTCACAGGTTTCGCCAGAGTGAGACTTGTAAACCGGAACTAGGGAAGCAATGATAGTACAAAATGCCCCCCCGTCGCAAACTGCCCCCACGATCACGCCTGAAACGACTGCTAAGGCTCTGGGTGAAGGCAGTTTCAGCGATCAAGTGTTCGGCGTAATTGAGTGCTCATGTGGTCACGAAGCAGTGGCCCATTTGTAACCCCCCAGTGGAAAAAAAAATCGAAAAAAACCTCGCGAACACCCTGAACACCGACCTCCCTTTAGCAGTGGGGGCGGGGCCTGGACGAGTGTGCCGGACGTGGCTGCCAGAAATCGATGCGGCAGCCGCAATTGCGTCCCGACTTTCGAAATAGGATACTTTAAAGGGACGGAAGCAGCTCGGGACCGGACGCCTCGTCCACCTACCGTGTCAGCGAGCCTAGCGAGCCTTGTGGAAATCGCTATAACTTCCTTATCGCGCCATATTGAGGGATGAAAGTGGTATCATCTTCGTCAAGGCGTAGAGGGTTCCAAAAAGCACGAAGTCATTTTGAGGACCACTTGATCGCGGGGAGTGTCTTTAAGGCAGTTTTAACGATGTTCTCGGTATGTATGATGGTACTCAAGAGTCACCATAGAGTCAACCCTTGTCCATCACCAGTGAAGAGTTCCAACGTAACCGCTCGAACCAAAGAGACGAGCTCTTTCTGTCGACTGACTTTGGATGAACGAGAAGCAGAATCTGGTGTTTATAGAGATCTCTCATGTTCCTCATGTACTTTCACATTGAGTCATTCTGCTTCGTTTTCATTGCTAGCATTACCTCGTCATATGTTGATGAATGTAATGGAATTTATTGCAAACCTGTGTGCTCTTTGGGATGCGTGTTCAAAATCACTTTCTGGCCCTAGGAAAGTGCCTTTCAGAAAGGCGGTAGCATATACCAAATCGGTTACTGTAATCTTTCACGGGGTAATTCGGTGACGGGGGGGGGGAGACATTTTGCATTCTTGCTACTTCCCATCGACGTGTCAACCCATCTAGACAGCCTCTTTTCAGGTGGCAGGTTTCAACATGATGCTTGACAAGCTTGCTCCAGTTTCACAAGAGTTCACATTTTTCACCAGAGACTTGTGAACCGGAACTGACGAAGCAAGGAAGGTGCAGAATGCCCCCTCCCCGTTGCCGAATCGCGCCCCTTTTAAATGTGATCCACGACTTTCTGGAAATTGGTGAAACCAGAAACTGCCCTAAACCGGATGGCGTTACTGACTTGACTCCCAGTTTTGGAGTCTTTTAGTATCTAATTTGACGGTTTTCTCGAATACTTCATTAAAATATTGGTTAAAAAGCGTGCAGCTATTTATTGTTTGGATATTTTTCGGCGAATACCTAATTACTCATCAGATATTTACGTATATTTCCTCTTTTCGTTCCCACGAACAAACCTCTTCTATAGCTTTCGGACGAAATGGCGTGAGAGAGTTGAACGACGGCGGTAAAGGGGGTGAAGGCGTGTTTGCTGACGGTACGGGAGAGCATGCATTATTGGTCACTTATACTGTACATCCAAAAAACTCATAAAATAAAATTTATTGTTCGATAAAATAAAAGTTATTATTCACGACTCATCAGCTTCTCATATTCCCTCATTTCAGACCGTAACCTGCTATCAGGTCAGCCGTGCTGGTTAGCTTTACAGCCAACGGATGCTCGTCCATCTGTTCAACAACTCAACGCTCCACTCGATACCCAGCGGACCCATGTCTATCACTACAATCCAGGTGAATTTTTTCAAATTTTATTGGTCCTCAACGGTATGACGTCGAGATAAGCATGATTTCCTGCAACCTTTCAAGCCCCTATTGCCGTTCCACTGAGAATTACAAGTCATATAGTGTAATAGCATAATGTCGTATTTTACAATATTGTATAGTGTAGTAAAGGGTGCAGTTCGACTTGGTGGGGGCACCAGTGGTACTCAGCGAAGCCTTTACAGGTCACCTTGTGAGGACCTGTTGATTTTTGTAACCACAGTGGCCCACTTGTATCATTCCGCTTCAGCTTCACAAGGGTTTACAGGTACCATTGAGAGCTATTAGTTGACGTGACCTGGGAAAGGGAACTAGCAAAAGGCGAAATGTCGCTCTCAAGCCAAACATCGCCAGGCCACAGGCTTCACTGACTACCTAATATAGTATAGCTTATGTGTTAACCAGTCGGCACGCCTCCTTCTGTGATACGGCCCGGATTCGCCGGGCGAGCGCGGCTCTGCCGCATACACTTCCTTCCACATGCTTGAATACACAACTAATATCCGGCTTTTCTTCTATCTGTACTCATGGTCAGAACATTATCCCAGTTTGTACGTGCTCGCATCAACCTCGGTAATATCCACGCCCCACATTCGCACTGCTGATTCCCCGATAAGAACTATACGACCGCCTGAGTAAAGACATTCATACTCTTTCGTCCTGCAGCTTCGTTTGGCCTTGAGTACAAAGTCTGGCAGCGGAGTGACTGGAAAAAAAAGTAGGCGTCACTGAAGGTATATTGCGCTTTAGCGCCCCCTCGCTACTGTCCCAACGTCATATTTTCAATTTTTATGCCTGATTGCGGATCGTGCATTCGAGGGTATGGCTGCCTATGCACTAAAAGTTAGTGGAACTAGGCACCTCATGCTCAAGGGCACGCTCCGCCCACTGCGGGCGGGACTGAACATACGGTAGCAACACCTTACTCTGCACCGTATGCGTTCGTTCGTCGACGATTTTTCTGGTCTCGAAACTCGCCCAGCTCCGATTGAAATTTCATAGTAAGCGCCGCCCGTCTCATGTACGGCCTGCCCATTTCGCGGACCTTTCCCCTTTTCGTCTGCTAACCCCTTATGGCCTCAGATCGAACCTATCTTCGAGATTTTTGACCACTCGCTCTTCCTACAGTGGGTGGTAACCTCTCACTTAGTCGTCGAGCCTCCTATACTTCTTTCGGTCTACCCTTTGAATGCTCTGGAGCTACTACCCGAACGACTAGCAGATTGTTGCGATGACACCGCCACGCTAGCGCGCACGCTTCCCCACAACGGCGGTGTCTCGCCGCTCCTAAACTGTTGGTTTCTCGCCTGACCGTAAATCCACATTTTCCCGCTGTCTGAAGTGCTCTGGAACCGTTTCACGGGTTTTTAATGTTGGCTCCGCCCACCTTGCCGCACGCTCCACCCACAACACTTATGTCTCGCAACTCCTCCAGTGGTATAGTATGAATGGAAAGGAGGTCGTGCTTTCTCGATGTCACGTACTGAGCTGCCCGAGGCTTTCCGAAGCTGTCTTGAACTAAAACCTTCCCATATTTCAGCGTCACTCGACATCGGATATCCGGCCATTAACTGAAAGAACTCCTCTACATACTGAAAAGTCGGACATATAGCAGAAGCAGCAGGCCTTGTTCACAGCCAATTCAGATTTATTACTCTTTATAAAATTTACAGAATTATTCACTCATCGGGTTCCAGCAATACTATTACATCCTCTTTCCATATATCGTCTTACTATACAGTGTTCGACTACCCTACGCTCATTCACGGTGTCTATTCTTCTCGTTGATCAAATGTGATAGTTGAGCGTGATGATATTAATTAATAATTACAAAATATATTCTCTCTGATTGTCCCCTCTTGTTCTGGTCCTCTTCTTCGGATCTCCCGCTGTGATCTCTCTCAATTCGCGCATCGTCACTTCATCACATTCACATTGATCTCACTCAACTAAAATGTATTAGTATAGCATTTGTAGAGTTACTAGCGCATATCCAGAGCCTATTTATTGATCTATTTATTTATTTATTTGTTTACTTGTTCTTCCCACAGATGAATAAACAATTTATTATACAATTAAAGCAGTAGTAACAATGTGTACAATAAAGCACTAGTGTCTATTGACCATCTCGTTCCCTCTGCCCTTGTAGAAACCCCGAGGTTCAATGAGGGACAAAAGAGGAAGAGCCTGGTGACGATGGGGCAAGATCTGGGCGAGATGGTCCCGTGGGTGAATTGAATGGGGACGAACCAGCGAAGGATGACTCGGGATGAGAATCAGTTGCAAATGAGGATGGGAGGTTTTCGAATGAGAGGGATGGTCGGGTGGGTGAACGATAAGGCGAAGATAAGAGGAACTAGCTGAAGGACTATAGGATGGTCCGTTGAAGAGGGATCCAAGCAGAGTCAGAGGATCAAATGTGCTGTCCATACCAGGGCTGTAGACCGGACCATTAAAAGGAAGTTGTCCATCCTCCTCTGAAAAATTCTATGTAAAATACATATGACACACATCTACGGTAACAAATGATTCATTAGATGACGGACATGTATTAGACGCCAGCCCTTTGGTTGCTTTACATTCGAAACATTCCTTTGTATTCCTACCAAAAAGCGCAGCGCAAAGCGTCGCTGTTCTCTCAGTGGCGATCGGGGTACAACCCCACCAAGTCATGTTTTCTGCCAAACTACATTTTATGCAGAAACAATGTGAGATAGCCAATTAAAGACTATATTCTGGCCACAGAACGCTCCATCAATTTTTTGAAGCTGAAGCAAAAGCGGCCCTGGTGGCGTAACGGATAGCGCACTCGCCCGGAAAGCGTGAGGTGCGGGTTCGACTCCCGCCTGGGGCACGACTTTTGCCCACAACTCAGCATTCTTGTGATAACGCTCTATCAATGTTTCGGTCCTGCGAACGATACGAAGCAAACAAAAGTGCATTTAAACGCGATCTTTTGGATTGTGGGTTTGACGGCGACCCGGATGAGGACGCCATGGTTGCACCACTGGGGACGCTCAAATCAGGGGTTACAAGGGTTGCACCTAACTGCCGGGATGTCCATCTGGCGATAAGCAAGTTAATTAATAGCCAGTCG